ACTGTAATCTTCACAGACACTGTTTGGTAGCTGCAGATTTTAAATGAATTAAAAGCTTTTTCACTAAAACGTTCCTGGAACACATCTCTGCCAACAGGGAAAAAAGAAAAACAATGACAGAAAACAACAACCAGTACCAGAGATTAGCAACCTGTCAATTGTATCTTCATTTGATTGTCTTGGTGGAAATACAGCAGGCCATAAGGCAAAGGAGGAAACAGAAGAAAGCGAGATGTTTCTGATATTTTACTACAGTGGCAGAACATACAGAACAAGCAGCTGGAGTTTCAAAGCTGCTCAGCACCTAAGGAAGAAATCAAGCCATGTGGCTATAACATATCTCAGGATGGGTAGGTTACAAAAAGAAAATTTAGTCTACCTGCACAATGCACAACTGTAACCTACCAACATAGCATACAGCAGCCAGCCATACCATGAGTGGGAGGTCAGATCACAGCATCTGCTCAAAGCCTCAGCACATCTAAAGTCCCTTTTCTGGTCTACTTGAAAGCCACGTCCCACCCCCACATGATTCACACCCCCTCACACCAACAGCAGGCTACCGAGGAGCTGTGCAGCAGCTTCTTGAGAGGAGGAGGTCATTCAGGACAATCAAAGCAGGGGCAGCAGCACCCAGAATAAAAAGAATAAGATGCTTTGTAGTTTCCGAGCATTGTCTGGCCACACAGACAACCCGCATTTGTAGACTGACGCAATATGAAATTGTCATTATGTACACGGCCAAGATGTTCTCTTCTGTACGATCTTCTTTGATAAGCTGCAAGGGCGCTTGGTTTCAACTTATTTAGAACTGGAATAAGCCCCACAATAACATGCTGCAGGAAACAACAGGCCACTGAGACTGCTGGAGCAGAAGGATGTCAAAGGGAAAGGCTGTAGAAAGGAGAAAGAAAAAGGGTACCTGAATACTAACAATAAATAAAATCTTTGTCCCCAGGAGCAGTAGCTGCACAAACTCACTATTCATCCCACCACTGCTCTTCACTAGAGTTCTGTCAGGACTAAGGAATCACTTCTATAAAAAGATTGTTGCCTATTACATAGATTTTTCCTTCTTTCAGATCACTATTTCTGTCCTTTCACCTTAAAGTAACCACACATTTACAGAAATTAATATCCTTCTGAGTCTTAATGGCTTGTAGTGATCCTCCAGAAAAAAATCACTGTTGTTTTTACATAGCACACAGCAGGGAATCACTTCTCCACCAGCTGAGGGCTTCCCCCAGCCCAGCCAAGTGCCACATCTGATCTCTATAGCACGTTTCCCTAATACATTATTAGAGCATGCACAAATGTGTTCATTCCTTGTGGAAAAAAGAAGGAAGTTGCACCAGAGGATGACATGCCCTCTTAATCCCAGGAACTCCAGTCTTCATACATGAGGCCTGGATTTCTGTGAACTCTTTGCAGCCAATCTGTAGGTCACAGCTCTCTGCTGGCAGCCTGCTTTTTGGCTGCACAGCAGTAGCAGCAGGGTGAAAGGGAGTCCCACCAAGTGCAAGAGTAAGCAGTGAGCTTACACAGGAATGCTCAACCTGAAGGTCAGCTCTATGCAAAACAGCATTTTCCAGATCTTAACCTTGATAACACTTCTCTTTTACCCTCCAAAGTTATCCTAGAAAAATAATCACCAGGAAAGCAAAGCGTTGAAATAATCACACTCAGCATCACTTCATCATTACTAATTAGGAGAAAACAGTCATGTTTTCAGTTTTTGCCTTTGCTACTCTTTATCCAAAAACAGCCACCCTTAGCCTCCTTGTGCTCAGTGTGCCTGAGCTCTACCTGCATGTTCTCAGCCCAACTATGCACACCTCCAGCCATAAGGCTACAGCCAGGCTCAGACATGAGCCCTTTCTGCTGCAGGTTCCCAGTGCTACGTACTCTTTCAGAAGCTTTGTATTTGAGTTGCCCTCTGGAAACATTTAGGCTGTTATATATGCAGGCAAAACATTCCTCTCAGGAGCGACACCATTTGCTCTATTTGTTCAGTCAACGTTAACAATATTCACCAGGAAAATATTAAAACACAAAGCTGACTAAAGCAAACAAGCAGGCATTAGCCATCTTCAAAATGGCCATCTCAAAAACTTAACTTGACATCCAAAAGGATAACTGGAACCCAACCAAACAGTCCTAGAATTTCACCTGAGAACCAGACTAACAAATTTATCATTTAAGGATAGATAAGGTAGGCACTGCTGCTTAACTGCTCCAACCTGCACCTTGATGCAGCAAGAGACTACCTCCTCCCAGCCCTCCTTTATCCCATGCCATCCAGAAGAATCCTCCCTTCTTGCAGAGGACCAAATTTAGTGCACATCAATATTTCATAACTTCATCCTGTCAAGAAATCAAACTGAACTACTTAAGGGCACTCTTCCAGGAGATGCACATCTTAACTCCAAGCATGAAACCACATTCATCACAGCCCTTCTCCCCCTTCCAACTACAAGGCCTGAAGGTGAGGAAGCAGTGAAAAACTTGAGGTCTTGTGTGCATAAGAGCATTACCCACGGTGCACTACACTCCATTAAAAAAATGCAGAAACAATGCAGTAAAGCTGGTTTCCTGTGAAGAACATACACCTCCAGCATCTCAGCCCCCCTTTACCTCCTGGTCCTACACAAGACATGAACTCCATCCCAGCACCTCACGATGATCAGAAGACCAGCCTGAAAAACAATCAGCTGCTAGGACAGAGCAGCCAGCCGTGAAGACACAGGGTCACTGAATGCCTTGGTTTGGAAGGGACCTCAAAGATCATTCTGGTCCTACCCCCCTGCTATGGGCAGGGCTGCCCCCACCAGCTCAAGCTGCCCAGAGCTCCATCCAATCTGACCTGAACAACTCCAAGGACGGGGCACACACTGTTTCTCTGGGCATCCAGTGCCAGTACCTCACCCCCTTCTGAGTAAAGAATTTCCTCCTAACATCTAATCTAACTCTCCCCTCTTTTAGTTCAAAACTGCCTCCCCTTCTCCTATCAAAGTCAGAAGGTTCCTGAAGATAGATATCACCACATGTGGTGCAGGCAGCTCCACCAACCTCAACAGGAGCTCAGCTCTTCAGGAATAGAACAGGCCACTTCCACATCATTACTGCTCCAGTGTGCTGGTGACTACCTGCAAGCTGTACCTTCAGACACGTGGAGATGAGAGCTCTACCCTAACCTGCCTATGGCATGAGATTATACACATTTGGAACAAATTTTGCACTTCCTTCAGAGCCACATCAAGAAATTCTGACAAAGCTCTACTTGGCAGCTTTGCAGGACAAAGACAGGCACACAAGGCAAGCTCCCAGGACAAGAGGTGCTCAAGTTACCTGTCAACACCCTGCATGTTCCCTGCTTATCTCCTCAGGACACCACGCACTGATTCGTGACTGCTTCCTCTTGCTGCAAGACAGCTTCCCTTGAAGATAGGAAAAGCGTCCTCTTTGTACCACTGAGACCACGGCGTCTCAGTTCTTTATAAAATATTGATCTGTCTGCCATCTGCAGTCCCATAACTTAAAAGGTACATCTGCACGAGGAGGGAAAGCAGGCCTGAGAGCCTCTGTCTGTTCCCTGCAGCAGCTGCCTCTGTCTGGGCATCCCAGGACATGGTCACACAGAGCCCATGACTGCCCACATCCACCTACGTAGTGATGTGCTTCAGGTGTGCACAGGGGATGAGAAGCCCTTGCACAAAACCAGCAGTACTTCTGTCTCTGGGACGTTCTTCTCACCAGGTCTGGCACAAGACACCCCTCAGAAAACACACCCAAAGAAGGGGCGGAGGGGAAAAGACTGCTCACCTCTGAACATCCACAGAGCACTCCCATCTCCCTCCAGAGGGAGCAATTCTAGAGGGAGCAGAGAGCCTGAGAAGGAGCCTGACACACACAGAAGGAAATCAGTAAGTCATCAATACATGTGCCCTGTTAGAGCCTGAACCGCTGCCAGGAATTGCAAGTGAATTGATAGCCTTAAGTGCAGTGACTGGAGGCCATCTTGGCTGCTTCAGGGACAGGAGGTACTACCACAGGAGGAACTCCTTCACACAGCAGCTCTACTGCTATTGCAGGACAACATCGGTTTGGCAGCACGAGGAACAGCCAGCTGCAGCTAAAATGGCAGAGCAGCTTTCACCAGCCTGCTCCAGCACAGCAGCCCTGGGCAAAGGCTGGGAAGCGTGCCGCACAACCAAGGGACAAAGTCAAAAAGCCCTGGCTGGGATTGCTGCAGGGTTATGAGAGCTGCAGTTAAGCAATAACCCGGCCCCAGTCCTGCCTAGCACACAGCGCTCACGCTCCTTTTTCACTTTTCAAACCAACAGAAAACTTTGTGAGAGCTCCGATCCGTTCCACCGAGCAACTGCGAGGCCACTTCATCCGCTAACGAAGCGCACAGACCCAGACACGTTTCCAAATTTCGAGCTGCCCTCTGCATTCCGTCAGGGATGGGAAAGCAGGTCGGCTTCAGGGAGCCACGACGCAACGCTATCGCGAAGCAGCAGTGCGAGAAACCCCCGCGCTGCCCAACCACCGAGCGCCGCCTCGTCGGCGGGCACCGCCGCCACCCAGCCTGGCTCCTCATCCCCTGGGCTGGAGGCACACGCACACCGATCGGCGCAGGTGGGCGCCCAACGGAACGGCAGTAAGAAGTTGTCCGGGGGCCGCGCAGGCACCTCGCGCCAGCCCTCGTTCTCACGGCTCCGCCGCTTTCCCAGCGAGCGGTGACAGGCGACGTGCCCGGCTCCGCCGTGCGATATTCCCCCTCGTCGGCCCTGCCGCAGCATCGCGCCACCGCTCCGGCTCTCCTCTCGCACCGCTCTAACCTGGGCTGGCAGCGAGCAGCCTACCGCACCCCGGCACGCTTCGCTCAGCCGCGAGCCCGAGCCCCGCGGCACCGCCGACACCGGAGCCCCGGGGCCCCGCGGCCGCCCCCTGCACGGGTGAGAGCGGCCCGACCCACCGCCGCCCGCCCCACGCACCGCTGTCCAGCCGGGCGATCTGCGGGAGCCGGTAGGTGCTGACGAGCAGGTCCAGAGGGACGGCCACCGCGCTCCACTTCACGTCCTTCAGGCTGAAGCCCAGCGAGGAGCCGGGGTCCATCTTCCCGCCTGGCCCGGGCAGGGCAGCGGCGCTGAGGGGAGGGGAGGGAGCCGGGCGGGCAGCGCCGCCGGGGTCGCTCCCAGCCGGCGGGACGGCGGCGGAAGGGAGGGAGGGAAGCGGGGAGGCAGCTCGCCGCGCTCAGCGCCGGCTACCGCCGCGGGACATGCCGGGCTAGGCGGAGGGGGAGGCCCGCCGAGCGGCCGACGCTGCTCCCGCCGCCCCCCGGCACCGGCTGGGGCCGCCCGCCGCCGCGCCTGGCCCAGGAAGCGCCATCCCAGCACTGACTAATCAACAGGGTGCGAGCAACGCCTGCGCAGCTGCCGCTCCTCCCCGCTCCGAAAAGGAAAGTGCCGGGCTGCCCGCCCGGCGGGGCGCGCCGCCGCCCGGCCCGGCCCTCTCACTCCACCCTCCGACCGCTCGCCCGACGTGCAGGGGCGGGGCGGCCGCCGCGGGCTGCAGGTGGGCGCGGGAGCTGCGCGACCCCGCACCTGGAGCTGCCGCCCGGAGCCATGGGGCGCTGGGGACGCGGGTTCGGGGCTCGCGTCAGGCACGGAGCTAACACCAGACCGAGTCTCTGCGTGCGCGCTTATGCTTAGAGTTAGCAGTCTGCTTGTTCAGCGTAGCGAAGTTCCGTCCTACGTTACAAAAAAATCTAATTATGTACCAACTTTATTATTTTAGTTTTCACTCATCAACCACACATGGATGTTTCAAGAGTGAAGAGCGGTACACACGCACTGGAAAAAGATCTCTGGTGTATTTATACCGCTGTCACTGCAGGCATAGGTATTGTGTACCCTATTCAGTTCTCTTAACAAAACAGAAAATCAGCTGCTCATTCTCCTTTGTCAATACCCTGTGTGATTGGGCCCCTCGTGAGAAAGACACTGAGGTCCCAGAGTGCATCCAGAGAAGGGTGGTGAATCTGTGCAGGGTCTGGAGCACAAGTCTGATGGGGAGCAGATGAGAGAACGGAGATTGTTTAGTCTGGAGGAGGCTCAGAGGAAACCTTATTTGCTCTCTACAGCCCCCTGAAAAGAGGTCGTGGTGAGCTGGGAGTCAGCCTCTTCTCCCAGGTTAACAGTGATAGGACGAGAGGTGATGGCCTGAAGTTGCACAAGGGGAGGTTCAAGTTGGATATTAGGAAAAATTTCTTCTCTACAAGAGTGCTGAAGCACTGGCACAGGCTGCCCAGGGAGGTGGTGCAGTCACTGTCCCTGGAGGTGTTCACAAACTGTGCGGACATGGCACTGAGGGCCATGGTTAGTGGGCATGGTGGGAATGACATTGGTCTAGGTGATATTAGTGGTCTTTTCCAACGATAATGATTTTGTGATGCAGTGGAGTCTTGTGTGATCTCCACAAGATCAAACTGGGTGTTAGGAAAAGGTTCTTCACCAGAGTGTGGTCAGGCAGTGGAATGGGCTCCCCAGGGCTATGGCACTGATCTGCCAGAGTTCAAGGAGTGCTGGACAACACACTCAGACAAAGGATTTGGATTTGGGTGGTTCTGCGTGGAACCAGGGGTTGGACTTTGTGATCCATGTGGATCCCTCCCAACTCTGCATACTTTTTGATGAAACAAAATGTTTTTCTACCCCCACAGCTCCTTATCTGCCTGCAGCCCCCCCACCCCTTGCTCTTCCTGTCCTGTATCAGGCCCAGCCATAGCTGTGTGCTATGTGGCTGCTGCCAGCAGCACCACGAGAACAAGGAGAGCTGAGACAAATCTGCTCTTGTTCTGCTTGGCTGCAGACAGACTTGTCCATGCTCTAAGATGAAATGACCACTATGGAAGCCAGAGGGGGTGACACAAACCCAAGTTAACTTGCTTTAAAGGGGTCTGGGTAGGGGTTTCCCACCCCTATGAAAGTCCTTCATTCTCTGAATTCGGTCCTGGTGATGTTAGATTCCACTTACTGGAATTGCTAGATTCACAAATACGAGACACTGGATTTTCTTTTTTTCAAAGTCGCTTCCTTTTTATGAAGTTTACAGAATGCTTTGAACTACTTAAGTGAATTGAGCTATTGAAGTGCAAAGTGATATAATAGCTAAAAGCATTGCTGTCAAAATATGGAAAGCCAAAGTATGGTTTTAACTTGTTTAGGTTTGCCAAGGTTTTTATGCGTAAGGTGAAGCAGATCAGGTCAGACTGGGATTCACTAGGACCAGGAGCACGGGTCTTTCAAGAAGTGGCTTTAAAAGCAACCCCAACCCATGTTAATTTCAGGACAGACACAGCCTCACCTCACAGGCTTCTCTCAGACATCACACAGCACTGCTGCTTGGGCAGAATCATTTCTCCCATAGAATCACAGAATCGTAGTTGTTGGAAGAGACCTCTGGGGATCATCAAGTCCAACTTCCTGCTAAAGCAGGTTCCCTACAATAGGTTGCCCGTTGGTTACTGCTAGTTTTTCTTTACAGATTACTTTCTCCTTCAGTTTTAGGTGTGTCATACATCTATTAAGCCTGTCTTCATATATAGCCATGCCAGTGTCATCTTTCATCAGTAGAAATCTGACCTCTTCCTAGCCATTCCATTGGAACAGGATGCATATTTTTAAATGCAACTTAGAGATACTATCTAAATTTCATTTAGTTATTTCCAGGCAAAAATAAATTGTAAAGCCTATTATTATTTAACTGTCTTACTGGAGCTCTTAAATTGACTTTATAATGTGTCCTACCTGTACTATAGCTGAACCTTCTTGAAGTATGTTTCACTACTGCATACAAAGTATTAAAATCACCAGAACATAAGAATCTCACAACTCTTTCTTGTGTTAACTGTACCTTATGCATAATTAACACTTCAGAAATAACCATTTCTCTGATGTTTAGCAGTGCCTCAGTCATTCAGTGATCTCTTACCCAAGTCTCCTGCTGGTGCTGCAAAATACTAACAAAGCCACCAGATCTTTAGAGAAATGAATGTTGTCAGATCTGCTCCAGGACTGGGGCCTCAGTTATGCTGTATCACAGTTTTTGTGCATTGCCTTTCAGGCAGTGGAGACATTTTTTTTTTCTGTGTATGTACAGAAAATTGTAGCCACAAAGCCACATGGAGTGGCAGAGGGATTCAATAACTCCAAAACCTATTCTTCAAAGCATTCTGAACTGACTGGGTCTCATGTTGATTTCTCAATATATTTATGTACCAGGAAGGAAAAAAACCCAACATAATATTTATTCAATTGCCAAAAAATTATTTTTAAAGCATTTAGGGTGATCATCAGTTCATATCTACACAAACGACGGAAATGGAGTTGTATTAAACAAACTAATTTTAGTGTGCATCTTCTAGCTTGCTTTATACGGTAGAAAGCAATGGATTTCCAAGCCTCATACTGTAAGATTTGTATGAAGCCATTTATGTCAGCATTGCTTTCACCACCCATGAAGTGGCGTTCCTTCTTCCCTCATGACTTTCCCCTTTATCGAAGGCCTGATTTAGCAGAATTTACAAGTCTGGTGGAAAACAGTAGGAGATACAGTGGTCATTTCAGAATCAGATCCTAAATGCCAGCCTTTCTCTGAGGTGAGCGGGGAGCTCAAAGAGAACAATATTTGATATAGTCGACAACTGTTTTGAAAGAGAATGCTATTCCTGCTCTACTGATTAAAAACCTTGCTCATGCAAAGTATTCTGAAGAGATTCCAGCAACCTGATACATTTGTTGTTTGAGAACCTAAATGTTTCACCTCCCTAAGACCAGCCAGTGACTGGATAGTACCTAAGCCAAGGTAACAGAAAACCCAGTAAAATTAAACAACACATGGAAGGAATTCCTATTATACAGAGAAACAACAAAACCCTTCCTACTCAACCTGATCCTCTTTTATTGATTTACATTCATTGTTGGGAAGAGGATGAGGAACCAAATAGAGACACAAACTCCAAGAACCAGTAGCAAAACTTGTGTGAGTTCAGGACAGCTTGAAGTTCAGAACTGCTGAAGGCAGAACTGCAGAATTTAGTCAGCACAGAAGATGGCAAGGAAGTGAACTAACTCGGCTGAATCATGAGATTTTTCAATGACATGAAAGAAAACAGAAAGCAGGTCTAATTACTGAATTATGAATAAACATGTTAAAAACTGGAATTAAAAGATAACAAGGAAGCTGGTAGAAAAAGTACAGTGAGAAGACCAAGGAAAAAACTGATCTATTATTCTATAGAGGGAGAAATCTATTTAACTGTCACATCATCACTGATGATACTGAGACACACTACTGTCTTAAACCTTTGTCTTCAGTTAAAGGCAGATGTGATTTCACTACTAGCACCACTGACAAAGGACTAACAGCTTAAGCTAGAAGAATGAGGAAATATCATGGAAAATACTTGTATAAATAAAAGATTTTTGATAGAGTGGATATGATGAAATTCCCAGAGGGTACAAGCAGTATTAGAGCTGCAAGTGATTAACACCAAGAATAAACAGAGAATGAGTGAGATTCCACAAAACTGGAAAAGGAAAAAATGCGTAAAGGAAAAAGTGCTACAAGCTGATTATCCTTATTTCTACTCTTAAAAAAAAAATCCTGGTTTCACAGAATCATAGAATTGCTCAGGTTGGAAAAGACCTTAAAGATCATCGAGTCCAACCACAACCTAACCATACTACCCTAACTCTAACAACCCTCTGCTAAATCGTGTTCCTGAGCACCACATCCAAACGGTTTTTAAACACATCCAGGGAGGTGACTCAACCACCTCCCTGGGGAGCCTATTCCAGTGCTTCACAACCCTTTCTGTAAAGAAGTTTTTCCTGATATCCAAACTAAACTTACCCTTGCTCAACTTGAGGCCATTTCCCCTCATCCTGTCACCTGTCACCAGTGAGAAAAGACCAACCTCGCTCTCACTGTAAATACCGTTCAGGTGTTTGAAGAGAGTAATAAGGTCTCCCCTCAGCCTCCTTTTCCCCAGAAAATTTGAAAAAAATTGAACAGGCAATCTAACCATTTTTAAGCACACTGAAAGTAAATACATGAGAAGTAACAGCGTGGGTTTGTCAGTAACAACCAACACCAGATCAACCTAGATCACTTCTAGCAGATGGTAACAGGCTTTGTGAATAGGCTGGAAAAAGCGAGGGTCATAGGGTTACATGTAAGTTGCTCTTAACTGAAAGGAAAAAAGAAGGTCTAGAGAAGTATACAGCATGAGTGCATAATTATATTGAAATATTTCAACTCCCAAGTTGAAAGACTGTATTGACTGGGACTTCACTGAGATCTGTCTTGAATCCAGAGCTATTTGATATTTCCATCAACATCTTGGATGACTAAACAGAATACACTTATTCACATGCAAAGGCTGTATATACAGGCAGAGGCTCCAGCTATGCTGGAGTGCAGCATGACAATTGAGAAGGATGCTGGCAAATTGAAAAAGATGAAACAGAAAGTTCTACATATACAGAGGAATAATCCACTGCACAAATAAGTGCCAGGAGAGAAAAGCAGTTCTTTAGAGGAGAGATTACAGATCACACATGCTAAACAGTTAGCAACGTTAAGCTATCTTGCATTATGCTGATACTGGAATGCATAAGTAGGGAGATATTAGATAAGATAATGAAAAAAAATCAGTTTAACCTACCAGCTGTGGTTATTTAAACTGGAGTAGTCTGGTAACTTCTCAGTTCTACACTCCAGGATAGATGAGAAGCAACTCAAAAATAAGAAGTAGCGCACTGAAAATGGCAAAAAAAGAGTTCTCTGGCCTAAAAAAAAGGAGGACACAGAAAGGTTTGTACCTACATAAAAAGGAAAGAGAAAACCTGCTTTCCACGTGCAGCAGTTAGGCGAGGTTATTAGGAAACTTCCTGCCTGCAAAACCAGTTCAGTAAGGACTGTACACTACTCAGGGAGACATTGAAATCCCCTCCTTCACCGCAGGTCTTTAAACATCTTCCTGGAATACAGCAGGGACAGCTGATCTGAGAATGAGATAAGAGGAGGAACTAGACAGCCTTTCAAAATCGCTTCCAGCACTATTTTCTTCATCTGCTATGGCTGTAATTAAGGCAGGGATTATCCTTTGTTCTTTAAGATTGTGCTCTAAGTGGTAGTTTAAATGACTGGCTAGGAGAGTAGTCTCAGGATCAGCTGTAAATAAGTAAACCTTCTTGTCTTTCACTCCCCTTCTGCAAGCACACTGAATAGCTGGTGGCACAGTAACATGAAAGAATAAAATATGCTCGGGCATATTGGGTCTCACGTCCTTCAGAAAGTACCTGAGAGCTGAGGTCACTGTCTCAATACTAAATATGATTGAAAAGACAAGCTGAAGAAAGACTTCAGAAAGGAAGCAGGCCCATTTCAGATAACGGCATTCCAGAACACTAAGCCAATGGAATTCATTATTCTGGATGTACCAGGATAGTTTACCATACAGTCTTGCACAGTACTATTAGTACTATTCTTCTGCAAATGGTGGTAGAATGATTAAATTTAATAATCATCTCCCACATCTCCCAGTCAAAACAAACAAACAAAAAAAACAATATAACCATTACAATTCCCAGCTTGCATTTGTTTTCTGTGTGTCCTCCTTGCTTCTAACTGAAGAAAAAGAAAATGGCATTTTTATTCTGCCCTCATTTAAATTTAACTAAAATATGATATCCTCCCCTGAAATTCAAGCTATTATGTATCAATATAAAACAGATCCAAATGAGCAGTCAGATCCCTGATGTATTTATACTCTAAGAAAATAACATAAATACATCAAACAAACACTGCATACATTTTTAACACAATAATCACATATGACAAAAGGAACTATTAGAAATGCAGGTGTGCTGCTAAAACCCATGTGCATGTTTCTATGGAATGATAAGGCTATATGAGCATAATAATTATTACTGGATGCATTCTATTGTTTTATGTTTTCTATTTTCTAAGGGAGGCTCAGCAACCCGCAGATACTGTGTACGATGTATTCTTTTATCTCAGCCATCATCTCTGCAACCTCCCTGTTCAAAAGTTTTCCAGTAAGACATACATTTCTGAAATGGATATTAAAGAAAAAAAACCAAAAATCTGCAGAAAATCATCTTACAGGACTACACTGAGTATAAGCTGATTAAACATATGTTATCTTGTGGACAGTATAAATGATTTCATGTATTGAAAGGTTGCCTGTGTGATGCCAATGTTCATGAAAATTAAAAATCTGATACAAATAGCACAAAAAATGTTAAAGTACATGTTTTTAATAAGAGAAAATTAGTACATTTAGATTTCACCTGTGCAACCATTTGTATGCAAATGATTCAAACATCAGATAATTGTTTTAAATTCACATTAAAAATAAAAAAATATAAACATGTCAAAATATTTGGCAGCAACGTTTCTGTAATAAAAAGGATGCCTAAATTCTGTGCTTTGGGATTACAGACTCCCTTTTAAAAAATTTTTATGTTCCCTTGTAGTAGTTAATATTCTCTGAAGAGGAAATGAAATAATAAACGATATTTCAGAATGCACAGCAGGTTCTCTTCTTACTTTCATTTAGATCCACAACATCTAAGTCATATAATACCCAGGACTTCTGTAAAACAAATAAAAGCAAACATTTAATTAAGATAACTGGAAAGCAGTAGTTGAAAAACTTGAATTTTCACGTATTTCAATATGTAAAAGACCTGATGAAGCCACGAGATAAGTTTTCCCTTTACATATTTAAATAAGAGATTAGAGTTTTCTAATAAATTAAAGGGAGACTGATGCTCCTGCAAGTTACAGCTTGGTATATTTACATCCTACAGGTGCCTCAAACATCTCTTCTAACTCTGAAGGTGACGGAGGATGTAATGTCTTCTGAGGAGACACTAGAAATCATCATGTAAATCTTTACTTACATGAATTGTTCAAGATATACCAGTTCTTCTGTTGACTGAACTAATTTTCACAGATCTGTTATTAATTACCTTAATCTTTGAAGTATTAGGCATGAGATGCAAAAATCTAGTTGAAATGAATAGAGAAATATAGGTCAAGAGTACCCATTAGAAAAAGGCATAAACTATTACTTGATAAAAAGGATATTGCATTTTGTGAAATTCACTATAGTTGCTGTATTTTCTTAAAACCATTATAAAAAACATAAACAGCCCCAAATGGAAACAACTCAGTCTTTATCATGATAGAATTATCATAGCAGCTCTCTGTCCTGGTAAAACATTTATTTGCAGATTGCAAAAGCAGATTTAAAAACTAAAATCAGCAAAACCAGAACTCTTCCTTTCGGCAATAAACACAACTAGATAATTAGTGCTGACCAGAGAAACAATCAAAACCAGTTGTGCAATGCAGTACTAGTAAATGTTGCAACTTTGGACTCCAAAAATATGAACACTGAAACCTGAACTCAAACACAATGACATAAAGATTGTCACACGCCTTGAAAAAAGAAGTCTGAACTCTACTTGCCATTCTTGTGTATGCCTCTTGTGTATGCCTCTTAACCAAGTATGCAATGATACACAGAGAAGTGAGTGCAACCACTGGAATCACCACATTCCTCTCTCAACCCAAACTCAACAGTCATAAACTACCACTTCTCACAATACAGAGAAGCTTCCAGAAAGGACAGCTGTCTCAGCTGGAATCCATGATCAAAATTGCATGGAAAAAAGGGAGAAGAAAAAAGTGGCATAATGTAGTCCAGTGTTAGTCATTATTTAAAATCCAGTAATTACACAAACAGTGCCACAAAACTGTCTGACTATATCCAGAAAGGTTCAGCTAAAATTACTTAGATGAATCTAAATGCAGGGAAAATAAATGTTTCCTAATGTTAAAGTAAGTTTTACGCCCCTTCAGCTGACAATTCTTAACACGACCCAAAATTCTGGAGAAGATGCATGAAATCATTTTTTTTTCTGCTTTGTAAGATGCTTGAATACAAGTAGTGGCCAGTAGGACTTGTGCTACATGGAGACAGTATTTTATAGTCTTTGAGCGGTGACTGTAAATACAAAGTATGAAATCCTTTCCAAGAGAATCTAACCAACCATAGCCTTTGTCACCTCAAGAACATGACATCACTCTGGTTCAGAGATAAGATACTGAGAAAAAAAGTCTGGAAGATAATGGTGTGAAAAGAAATTTAAAATGTGCTTTTGCTGAGACCAAGAAGCAATATTGAGCATTGATTACTGCGGAGATAAGCTGAGGAGGTTTCATTTCACACCTGCTTTTTCTTAAGAAAAAAAAATCAGTTCAAGTATTAAGAGTGTTATACAAAAATATAGAAAAATTTCTGAACAATTTCTGAATTCATTATGAATTTATTTAAAGGAAAGAGGTAATTTTAAAGTGTTATAGGTTATAAGTAATTTCAAAGAATCATAGAATGGTTTAAGTTGGAAGGGACCTTTAAGATCATCTAGTCCCAATCCCTTGCAATAAGCAGGGACACCTTGCTCTAAATCAGGTTGCTCAAAGCCTCATCCAGCCTGGCCTTGAATGTTTTCATTTCATGCTTTCAGTTAAAGGACAATAAATTATATATTCCTTGAATGCTTATGATGTTTATTTGCAAATATTTTACTGCTGAATAGTGCTTTTAGGCAGCCAGTAAACCATTCATGTGTACAGCAAGGATCCTTAGCACTATATGTGATTAATAATGGGAAAACCTACTTGACAACGAAGTTGTTCATACTGTCTGTGAAATCATTACCTGATAGTACTTAACAACAAATTACCCAGGACAGAAAGACAAGAACTACCTCTCCACAAATAAAGAATAGGTAATCATTTGTTTTAATAGACATGTAAATGTTGAAGACTTTAAATATCACTTCAGTTTGATACAGGATCTTCATCAAGCAGATAAGGGCTTGGGATTCATTTAAGCAGATGTGCTTTGCACACATTTAAGTGCATAATCATAACCTGAAGAGATGCTACGAGTCCTGCATGAAGAGCTGAAGCAGTGAGTGCAGTCCCACATAGTGCTGAGAAGAAGCCCTGAAGAGATACAGCACCTTCCTCACATGAAATTAAGGAGGGGAAGTATGCAAATTTTGCCCATCTCAGAGAACAAGGCAGGCAACATTCCACACTCAGGGCTCTCTCCTTGCTCACATTTCAGCTCAGTCTGCCCTGCAAGGCAGCCAACAAACAACTGATAACAGCAGAAAGGTGAAAGGAATCAAAGTGATATGAAGAAGCTCAAGTTTCCACTTCAGCATCACGGACAAAGTGAAATCTTGAAAATAAAGCCGAAGAAATAGATGCTATTCTACCCAGTAGTGATTCTAGTAAGACATTGAAATCTACTGCTAAAATACTAGTTCAGCACAGCAGACGTGTCTCACCAAACAGACAGGCATCTGTTTAAGCATTCTAAGCTCCCTGCAGAATCAGTGGAGAAAATTAGACAGGATCAGCTACTCCCCACAGCCATCTGGTCTCATCACCAGCTCTTAGGCAGAGGTTGTATCACTATCTTACAATAGATACCTAACTTGTAGAGAGATTAATTGTTATGACCAGTATCCCTCTAATTATTATTTTTAATCAGGTAAATAAAGCTAAATTCGTATGCAAAGAGAAATAGCATCAGAAAATAAGGAAAGTTCTTTGAATGGTTTCCAATGTAATAGATTCATACAGCTTAATTAAGATCAGCAGCCTGGTCTTTGCTGGAAATCTGTTAGATTAGCAGTACTAAGCCAAGTTGGATTTACCTACTATGGCACCAGTTCTCAGTATTTTTATGTATTTTGGAGACACAGTTCACTACTGCTTTGGTAGAATTTAAACATTTAAATGCCCCCACCTAGAGTAGAGTGGAGGCAAACCCAAAGTGCCTGCTGGAAAGCTACTGGTTTTAGAGAAATAAGTAGAAGAGACTGCAACTGAAGCTACTACTACTTATAACTTCTCTAAACTCTGGGGAATGTATCCTCTCTAAATATAAAATTATTGTAGTTAATGACTGCAGTCTTTCTGTTTATATTTAATAGTGATGGTTGACAAAGTTTAGCAAAGCATGGCAGAAGACCTTGTGCAATGAATATCAGGGGACTTCTGAACCTGCACAGCCAGAAGACAAGAGCTCAATCATAAAGATCAGTCCTACAATTCCCTTGAGTCCTACTTTCTCTGTATTCTGTAATTCTAGGCTTGAAGTTACATGTTCAAAATACAAGACAGTCCTTTCCCAACAAGGTACAAGCAGTATCAGATGCATTAGTATGGAAGGTGATCACTTCTGGGGTAGGGATAGGAGTAGGAGAGGATAAAGAGAGGACAACGCTGCTGCTGAACACCTTCTTCAAGAGATGAGAATGGAAGTCTTTGTTCCCAAAACCTGCTATTCCACAATGTCTAAAACACGTCTAACCCGCTAACAAAGCATGGGTCTCTATCTCCCTCTCCTGTTAATAACATGTGACTATGGCAACGTTGTACTGCAGTTATTCTACAAACTTAAGAAAAAAACAATGCTTTAAAAAACTCCAACCCTACTGTGTTTACTCATTTGAGCAAAGTCAGGATCAAAGTCAAGGTTGAAGGAGCTGGGTTTGTTTAGCTTAGAGAAGAGATGGCTCTGGGGAGACCTCATTGCAGCCTTCCAGTACTTGAAGGGAGCACATAAACAGGAGGGAGAACGACTGTTTACTAGGGTAGATAGTGATAGGACAAGGGGGAATGGTTTTAAACTGAGACAAGGGAGGTTTAGGTTAGATATTAGGAGGAAGTTTTTCACACAGAGGGTGGTGATGCACTGGAACAGGTTGCCCAAGGAGGTTGTGGATGCCCCATCCCTGGGGCATTCAAGGCCAGGCTGGATGTGGCTCTGGGCAGCCTGGTCTGGTGGTTGGTGACCCTGCACATAGCAGGGGGTTGAAACTAGATGATCTTTGTGGTTCTTTTCAACCCAGGCTATTCTATGATTCTATGATTCTTTCAAAGTCAGTCAATGCCAGAAGCAAGTCAACTGTGTTAACAACCAAGTCAACTATGTTAACTTTACTTTGGTCTCCTTGAACTTATTTAACTTTAATAATATAAAACCAGAAAGGCTGATATACACAGTCCTCTATTATCGTCAATGGGAAGAGAAAGGCACCTCCAGAACAGAGTTTCATTTGACATGTTTCTTTCCATTGACTGTAGATGGTTCCAGACAACTACACCAGCCTAGTCATTTTTACTGGCTAAGGTTGCACACTAAGAAGAATCTCATCCTGCATACTCAAACATTATGATTTAGTTTTGATGACATGGCCTAATTATATGTTACCGTTTCCAGAAGAATGTCTGGCTTATTCAATGTTCAGAACAGATTTTTTTGAATTAAACAAGATTGTATAGTAAAATTAGGCCCCACATTGTTGCAGTGCTGTGAGAGTTGGTATCACGTATCCTTTTTGCTTTAATGTCTGTTCCACAGTTCCCATGTGTGCAGTGCTGAACATACTACTACTTAGTGTTACTAGGAAGGTTATGAAGCTAAAAATCTAAAATAGATCTAAAATACAGCATTAAGAGCACTATGAAAAACCTTACAAAGAATTAATATTCTGTGGTCAGTACAAGATAAGTAAAGGACAAATAAAGCCAGGGGCTTCATACATGACTAAGGATAATAAACAAATACTGAATGTGCACTGCTTAAGATAGGGATCTTTTGGACAAACGACAATTCCCAGAACCATGGCAATAATGAATTCTGATTTCCTATGGATTTGTGTCTTGCAGTGAATTAAATTTGGTATCTGTGCTGCAAGCTCCAGCTGGAGTGGCTGGTTGAAGCAATTTTCTGTCTCTGTGTAGTTATCTCTGTCTAATGCAGTATGAACTAATGCTGGAGACTTTCTATCTGCAGAGTATTCTGGGACATACTGTGTTATCTCAGAAATCTTGTTGCCTTGGAATGGAAGTCAAAGAGATCAAGGAAAAACAGAACTGAGGTCTGCTACTTTCAAATTTTCATCTCAAATTACATCCAACTGTTAAACTTTAAATGTTAACCTAAACAGTACAAGGAAAGTTTTTAAATGAATTTTGACTCTACTCTGCTCAGATGATTTGTATTTATTTAATATAATATTAAAATAATCTTAGTAGTTGATCACTTTTGAGAGGTAGACAATTTAAGTTTTGGTTAGCTTTATAGCGGTCTTCAGAAGAGAGCAAGAACTTCAGTTGTTGTTGGTTTTTTGTTTTTTGTTTTCCCTTTTGTTGACTATAGTTTCCATACTTCCGCTCCTAGTTTAGAAAAATACCAGCCACTGCACCCACAAAGAGAAATACAAAGGCTTGCAAGACTTTTTAAAAAGCTAATTGAGAAGAGTACTGTTTCTCAGCCATGAATCCAAACCACACTAAAGTGCAAAAAGTAACTGCATTCTCAGTGGTAATTTGGGGGGTTTGGTTGTTTTTTGAGGACTGAATCACAGGTACAAATAGTTCACTGGCAACAAGAAACACTGCTAAGGAACAGCTGTCATCAATTAATAAGCAAGTTTAGGCCTCTCTGAGACTTGTAAGAATTATGAATTAAAATGTTATTTGTCAACAGGTCTAAGAAAACCTCTGGGAAAGGCTTGAAGTGCCATTAACATTCATTTCCATTACAGCCCTTCCAATACAATAAAAAAACAGTTATTATTAACCGTTATGATTGAAAACTGTGAGTTAACTATTCTCAAAATCTGGTATAACTCCACAGCTGCTACCAGTGTAAGTTCTCAAATAACATCTGATTGTTTTAATGAGACTACCCATGCAATTTAGAGCTGTGGCATTGAGGCTCATCAGAGAATGGTTTTCACAGACTATAAATATCTAAAAAATTAAATAGTGCTTCAGTTATCTGAATCACTGAGATACAGACGTAATCTTCCTCTCTTAAGCCCAATAAAAGTAAAGCCACAAAAGTAGAGATAGCAGTGTCTTATAAAAGTAACATGCTCTACTGATTTAAATCTGTTCTACAAATAGAAAAAGGCAGCACAAAATGATGATAAAACAAATCTACCTTTTAGTTCCAATTGGGACTATTCATTTGAACCACAACTTGTTCTAAATCTCAAAAGAATCAAGAAGCTCATTATTTCAGCACGACCTCTATAACTCCAGATGTTGATTTTCCTCATCTACACATGTTTGCTATTAAAAGTAGCTAAAAAAATGCCCATAGTAGATAGTGAACAAGACCGCATATAAAAAATCCAAAATGTCCTGAGATTAATGTAGAGACAATACATCTGAAAATGCTTTACTGTCTGCCAGCTTGCCTGCCTGCCTATCTTCTCAATGACTTCAACCTACTTCCAAAAAGCAAGGCCATACTAGAATTTTCAGGAGAGCTCCTTAAAACAAGTCTCCTCTATGGGACTAGTAAAGCAGTGACAAGCTTCCACCACTGAAGCATCTCATTAGTCTAGAATAGATGATCCTACTGCAGAAGTAAATGAGATACAGTATCCTGCTACCTCAGACATAGCTGTCTCGTGCCAAAGCACTGTGCAATGCTGTTTGAACATATCTTGCTATTGCAGAGTGAATGTGTGACTGAAGTGATCTAGACTGGCATCTGTCGTGTCATTTTTTCCACAGTTACCAGTCACACTTCCTACCACAGTTTTTCATCTTCACAATTTCATCAGTTACAGGAAGTTAAAATTTAAGTAGTATATTCAGATTTCACAGTTTTATGAACAAGCAAATTATTTTGTTGAACCTGATAACCATGATGAAACTGTCTGATGGATTTTTCTTTTTCTCTCTGAACTCATTCTTCTCAGGCCAGTGGCAGAACCAAGTGGGCTAAAGGGTTTCTTATTTAAATCAACAAATTCACAAACAATTGCAAATTATACATCAAAGTAATTGTAAGTGAGGCTCCAATATGGATTGCAAATATTTCTAGAATGAAATATTAGTACAGACAAACTTAAAAATTCCCAAGGACATATTTTCCAAACACAAATGCATGCACATAGACTGTACAACTGCATTATCAAGCAGTTCTAATAATTATACTCCATGCTGGAGTATAATGGTCTAAATTCGTTTGCATGGCCACACTAAAACCCTATTGATTTTCATGAAGACTAGTAGGAATACTAAAGCTCCACTTAAAGTAAAATGAATGCAAGCAATCTTGGAGTGAGAAATGCCCAAACACCATTTCTGAATGCTGCAGAGAATTCTCTCAGATCTTACTAAATGCACTGTGCAGACATTATAGCTTCACAGATATTTGTCTTCGCAGCAGCTATGATCATAGCTTTTGGTTTGTAGTTTTCATACTACAAATATATTATTTATTTACAGTAGAAAACGTCTTTTTCATTTTCAAGAAAAATCAGTTATCTTATTTTTTTATTTTTCCCAGCTATTCAAAGACTTGTCATTGTCCTCATCATCTAAATGACATTTGGCAGTTAAACTGCCAAGTTTATTTTCATGCTAAGGTAACCAAAATCATATATATCAAAAACAAAACAAAATAACCCAACAAACTAAAGTTTGTGTTATTGTATGATAGACCAAGACCCTCATTTAGAAGCCGTCCACTCCTCAGCTACTATCCTGATCATCCCCTATGGCTATTTAATTAAAACACTGCAAGTTGTGACTTTGTCAGTAATTTTGCTCATTTATCTTTATTATGACTTCAAGAGTATTCGGAATGGAAGGCTAGTTTCGTATAACTGATATTGGTGATGAATGGCAGTGATAATGCACTGCATGAAGAACATCCATTAATGTCTAAAATAATATTCTACTGTCTAAAAATAAATTGTGATGCAAAACATTTTCATAGCTAATTAACAATAATTCAGTCCCACACAAGATTTTTGTATGGAAACCCTGAGTAGCAAGGACCTTTTTCACCAACACAAGCTAGGAAGTTAAAGATGCTGATTGTGACAGCCACAATATTGATTCTACTACTAATTAACTCAGCTCTTTAGATTCTAATAACTTCAAAAGCACTAGTGTATATCAGCCAAACAAACAGCTATGATTTCTGGATGAAACGTTTAATTGCTGAACACAAAATGTCCGCTCCTTTCATGAATATGCTGCCTCATAGCAGTGTGCATATTCTGAGAAAACTTAAAGAAAAAAAGGAATTATCCTGGCACAGAAATGGAACTATCCTGTAACCCCTTAGTATTAACCCTTCCTTTGAAGAAAAGGGTGGAAAGGAAAGCCACAAATGCAGCTTTCCTGAGTTTTTACCTTCTCCTTGAGCAATATTGTACCTGTTCTCCTCTGTTCTCCCACAGTTCTTTTTCTGTATGTCTCCCCTTGTATATCTACAGCTACGGGATCCTCCCAAATATCACTGCATAATGCAAAACGAGCACTAGTTATGCTTTGCTAAAGCTATCCTGTACTTCCGCTCCTGAAATCTTCCTTCTAATTTTTCCTCATCCTACCTTTTCCAGTATTTCCATAGTCAAAATTGAAAATGCATCCTCAATGTTCACGTTATCTTTGGCACTGGTTTCGAAAAAGGGTATCCCATGTTCCCAAGCAAGCTGGAGGAAAAAACAAGAAGTTGGCAATGGGATGAACAGTCCTTAGGAAAATAGAAAAAAAAATATTAATACTAATAGCAATAGATGTGTAGGTGCTTCTGACAGCTCTTAACGTGTTACATAAACATTGACTAAGAAAACGTCAGCTCAGTAAATTACACTATATTTATCCCTAGTTTATAAATTTCAGATATGTCTTAAATATTTTTTTTTTAATTTATGTGTTTTCGAAACAAGTTACTTGTTTTGAAACTTGTCACTTGTAAGTAAGGATACACTCTACTGGATCTCTTCTCAATGTTTTTGATTTGTTTAGAAAATGAATCGCTTCCTAGGCAATTATTTACAGGAAATTAATAGGATGTTTGCAGAAAAGGACAGGTAAAAATTTGAGAAAAGACACAGAAAAGCAGGTATGATGAAATAAAAAAAGAGATGCAACTTTTCAGCAAGTAGAGAGAAAAGAACAGAGATAACAAACATGCAAAGAACAGATGTGCATGTGAAAATACATTAGGGTAATAGGCAAATAATGAAAATGCTTAGAGGAAATTGGCAGCATAGATTTTATATTGGCTAATTTTATTTAATTTGCTTGTTTTCACTCAATTCCAGTGTACCTCTCTTACAGTTGGTTAGATAATATATTGGCATAAAGAAAAAAAAACACTACAAAAATCACAGCTTTTTAAGGTCTTAAACTTATTTTAATTTATACAGTTAAATACATGGAGAAAAAACAGTTGACTCTTCCCTCCCAAGGGAGGAGACCAAGGTGGGAGGAATATCCTCCAGAAAAACCATAATGGGAGTGTCTATTTATTGCCTTTGTAATACCCTCTTGGTACACATCTGAAGAAAGCAATCCCAATCCAGGAGAACACTCCTACTGCTCATAATGGATATTAACCACTTAATTCGTTTGGAAGGCTCTTCATTAGGATAAAAAGTCTAATACTGCTTGCCGAGAGAACCTGTGGATGCTCCATCCCTGGAGATATTTAAGGCTAGGTTGGATGGGGGCCCTGGGCACCCAGGTCTGGCAGATGGCAACCCTGCACATGGCAGGGGGTTGGAATTAGATGGTCTTTAAGGTCTCTTCAAGACTAAGCCATTCTACAATTGCCAGTTATGATTGTTTTCAATCTTTAGAAATAAACTTTAGAAATAGAACTTTAGAAATAACCTAAAAAAAATAAAAAATAAAAAAATAAACCTGGCACTTTACGAGAATTCAAAAATAAGACATGAAAGTACAAGAATTTGAGTGTAATATTTTAATTAAAACATTGTAAGGATGATATTAAGGCAGAAAAAAAGCAAGCAAAATAGTTTATTTTCCAAAATACTACAATGAAATATAATTTTGAAAATGAAGAAGCTATCTGATATATTTCTTAAGACAGACTACTTCAAAACTCAATTTGACTGCAATGTCTTGTTCTGTCATCAGGTCACTGATGTTGAATAGTCTGGGTCCCACCATAGACCTCTGCTGTACTCTGTTCTTTACTAGACACCAACTGGACACATGACCTTAAATTGCTACCCTTTGCATCAAGTAGTCCAGCCAATTTTCATTCCATCTCATGGCCCATTTGTCCTGCTCACGTTTCCTGGCTTCCAAGTGCAGATGCCATGTGACATTAACAAAAGCCTAAATTCAAAATATATTACAAACCACCACTATTCCTCTGTTCACACACTCATTTTCTGGTCTTATAAAAGGCAATCTGGTGGCAAAGCAAAATTTACCCTCTGTTGATTCTGCCAAATCATCTTCTTGTCCTTTAAATGGATGGAAAAGGATTTGATGACACAATCCTTCTCATGGATTGAAAGCTGACTGACCACAGTTCTGTGAACCCTCCTTCCTTCCCTTCTGTTTCAAACATAGATGTCATACTAGCCTTTGTCTAGTTAACAAGCATCATGATTTTTCAGAAATGACTGAGAAGCCTCAATATTATTGATCAGCTTCTTCAGCATGGTTGGGTAAACTTCATCATGCCCACAGATTTCCTAAGCAGTTTCTAACCCAGTGCTCTCCTGCTCATGGCTGATCTGCTTCCTCTCTAAGCCCCGCCAGTAAATGCAGAAGTCTGGAAAGAAGGTCCACATGTAAAGACTAACACAAAAGAAAAAAATAACATTGAGTACATCAGCCTTCTGATGTTGTCAAATACATCTATCAATACACTCCTATTTTCTCCATCTGTGCATGATGGACATACTGAACAAAGAATATTAATCACAGAATCATGGACTAGTTGACAAGAACCTATGTGTCCACCTGATTCAACCTCTGCTCAAGCTGGGACACCCAAAGCAGGTTGCCCAGGACCATGTCCAGGCAGCTTTTGAGTATCTCCAAGGAGGGAGAATCTAGAAATATATGTATTAATATATGTACTATTTAAATTCACTTTGCAGACTGGTAAATGTTGTGGTAAGCCAGTTATCTCCAAATTTGGATAGATGAAAAAAAATAATAAAATCAGTGTTAATGCAGTTGCAAGTATGAGCACATCTTTGTCTAATTCACCTCAAAGAAACTGGAAAGGCACATTCAACGAATATTTTTTCCTGCCTTTGGGAACATCTTGTGTATATCTGTAAATAAAATACATACACGTACAAACTAAAGGCAATAATACTACTGGGAAATTTTATATCATCCTTGAGAACTGTTTGGAGAGCTCATGTGAAATAAGATTATATCTTACTTACATTAAGAAAATAAATAATGCCATTATCTTTTCCAAAGCAAAGTTTTATTCTAGTGTTTTTATCTCAAAATATACTATTTCCTAGTAAAATTCTGCTATGGTTTCTTGGTGTAGAATCAGAAAGAAGTATCTGGAATATTCCTAGCACTGTATCACTGTGTAGTGTTTTTTCACTCATATTGTAGATGTAATATAAGTTCTAAAGTCAAGCACACGAAGATGAGAAAAGGAAAACAAACAAACAAACAACATTTTATTTGACTATTTCTGTTAGAAAGATGTGACAAGAGGAAAATGGACAGATTCTAAAATGTCGTATAATCTTCAATATTTATACTTATTTTTACTTACTTATATGTAAGTAACATATATATATTGATTTGGGGAGAGGGGAGTGGAGGAGCTCATAAAGGCTGAATTCAAACATTTCAAATTACTAATACAAGAAAATCCCTCACAGAGCTAAAATTAAGTATATCAATTTATGAGTAATCAAAATGATCAATTACAATTTTTTTTTAAATAATTTCCTTGATTTAGTTTATATACTGGCATATCATGGCTGCTCAGTTACAACAGAATACTTTAGAAATGCCAGTATACACAGTAAGATCCTCAGAGAATCCTTTGATCTTCCTTGCAAGACTCTGAGCAGAACAATACTCACAGCTTATACTCACAGGGTACTATGGACTGAATTATTATGTGGCAGAGCTTGCTGTAAACCATTTTTCCTTCTAATATGTATATTTTCATCTTCGGAGTGAGATGATATTATTAGCTCACTCTCTGCTAATGCAATCTTTCTCCAACCATCTCAGTAAGATTCTCTGGCATTTCAAAATCACATTAAAAAACAAAACAATGTAACTGAGGAGTTGTCTCAGAACACAGAAGAAATCTAGAAAGCAGACTCATTGGTAAAGAGGTGAAAACTTGTTCCTCAAAAAAAAAAAAAAAAGAGAAGACTACAGAAAGAGAAGCTTTGATTGCATGGTTAAGGATGCATAAAATGTCACTGTTAATACCACATGCAAAACCCTAATACTGCCCTCTTGTGCACGTGTCCAGTGAGTATTCAGATTTCTGATAGTGTATTCTTTGAGTGAAACTATAGCTGTATTTTTCAGCAACCTTTTTTCCTTGTACACATATACATTACACTTTATGAGTGTACTTTTAAAATTTTCCTAATCTGTCCTTATGTAATCAGAAAGAAATGATCAGCATGCTAATCCTCAAACACAGTATAACATGGCTGACTCAACTATCTGACTGCATACATGAAGGGCTCATTCCAAGATTATTTTTCCCCTGTTTTTCAATAGAGATACCACGCTTAGTTATGCATTTCTTTCAGTGATGAAAAACAGCCTGCATGCCACACTTGTAAAAATCTGCATGGCCGTCCTGAACATAGCTTGTCTTTCACACTGCTGTCACTACTGCCAAAATGCATCACCCACAGCTTCACTGTGCTCACATCCACTGTTTGGGCTCCATAAACATTCAGCAATTGTCGATGAAAGCCAATTCCTCCACATGAAGGAATTCAACCTTTGCTTCATAAATACTCCCATGTCAAACACCATTCTTTCTGAACTGCCCCTCTGCTGCCATCTGCCATCATAGCAACAAAATGTAATGGAATACTGGTGAAAAGACAACCTCTACTGCCATACCACCAACATCTGCCTCTGGCATTGTGGCCCAGTATAATAATATAGGAGGCATTGTTTCTGGAGCACCACACACACAATTACATTGTGACATTTAATCAGTATCACAATTTCTTCTTCCACTGAATGGCTCCTGGATCTCCTCAGGTTTTCAGTTATGGTAATATTTGCCTTTAAAACAATACTCCCCATTTAACACTAGTTCTTCCTCTATAGTCTAATCTATACTGTAGCTTCAGCTGCATAACCTATGGTTTGAACTAGAGGACTTGGATTTCCCCAAAATGTACATGTCCAGTGTTCTTTAGGATTACTTATAGATAATTAAGATCACAGTATGCAAGCTGCCACAATAGTTCTATATGCTTAGGTACTTGCAAAAAAAAGTCATTGATGAGTCCCATCAGGTAACATAAAGTGATGCAAAATGTGCAGTGTATTATATGCTAACGCTTCATACTAGAACAGTGTTCTGAAAATGCAGATTTTAAAATCCTTTAAATTATAATCTGAAAAATAATTATAATGCCTGAAACTACTTAAGATCATTTTATCTTTCAAAATAAAAATCAGTATTCTGAAGAGAGCAGCCAGGTTTATTTAATGTATTTCTGTTCATATGTTAAAAACAAACAAACAAAACCACTGTTTTTTTGGAGCAATTCCTAACAGAATGTTTGGAATTCAGGAGCCTTTTTTCATTGTCAGGGGCACAGCTCATAGTCACACACACCCAGGAGAACCCAAAGAAAGCATCAGTGATCAATGGTACCTTTTCTCCTTTATATTTTGGAACTACACGTTCTGATTCCTTATCACATTTGTTGCCCAGCAGTATTATGTCCACTTCATCACCTGCTTTCTAAAAGAGGACCAGCATTAATAAGCATCAAGTTAACAAAAAAACAAATAAATAAATAAATCAAACAATGTAACTTCAACTCACACAAAACATCAACACAATTCCCTTGAAAGTAAAGGCTATGTTTCCTCTTGACCTTTTCATCTGTAGAAATGTTTTTCATCAGTTACCGAGAGCCTGAGAAAAATGGTAAGACTGCAAAGAGCAGGAAAAAGCCACTTAAAAGTAAAGGGTATAATTTGGAACACCCTTCATGAGAAATAAAGTATATGGTGCATGGGTTTCAGCTTCTTATAAATGCTTGATCTTGAGGCTTCAAAGTGACTGGAAATGCTCCAAAGTCACAGAAGCTGCCCTCCCTGAAGTAATGAGATTATGGATTAGCATGTTAGTCAGGTCTGCATCCAGCACTGAAAAGAAAAAACTAAGGAATTTGCTACACCTGAAAGAGTACCTCTCCATACTTCGCTTTTGCACACAGACAGCAAAATTACAGTCCAAGTGCTCAATCTCAGCATAAAAGTTTGATTATTCCAAGACACTTGGAAGAAGGCAATATATTTTTTAATGAAGTAAAATTTTAAAAACCTCATTGACTTCAAAAGGAGGAAAAATCTAGCTTTTTGACCTTGTCTCCATCCTTCGTTCCACTAATCCAGTTACATATAGGATGACTGTGAAATGCACTGGATGCTTTACATCAGTGTTATTTTAAGATAAGCTATTGTAACTATAGATGACTGCAATCATGACAAGGAAATGGAACAGTGGAAATTACAAAGTGACGTTTGCTGTTAAAAACATAGTATTTAAAACCACTTTTGATGCCTAAATGGAAAAAATGTCTCTGTCTAGAGAAGAGTAACTCAAATGTAATCTGTTTCCACAATGTACTTTGAAAGCAAATGCTCACACAGCTTCTCTGATGACTCAGAAGGTTTGATCTAAGGCTGCTGATCTCTCTGCAATGCTGCTGCTGAAATCTCTGGTCTCCAATAAAGTCTTAATTTTTATAACACTAATCAAGCCGTAGGGTGTCTCTATATCTCTTCCAGAGAGGATTAAAACTACCTCCTATCTTCAAAAGTTTTCTGGGGAGAGACTGAAAGGGAGAGACATGCATGAACACCTACCTATTCAATATCATAGAATATGACAGAAGATGCCTCTTCTCAAAAAAAAAAAAAAAAAAGTAAAAGGAACCCAAAACAAACAAACAAAAAAACATACTGATAATTCATCATTACAGCTGCTGAAGCAGTCCAGGCAGGCCAGGCTGAGAGCCAGCTGCTCTGCTGTCACCTATGCTATGACTTAACTTTGAGACCTCAAACCCTGACTCTCAGAATCTGTAGAAACTCAGGTGAATACACATCAGTTCTCCAGAGCACACACAGATGCACATGGACACAAGTATCTCCCTTCAGAGAAATGGAAAGAAAGATCTCTATTCATTAAGGGATGACAGAATCATTATTTTTAGTCTATTTGCTCTTTCACAACTAACTTGCTTCATTTGAGGAGTACAGCAGCAGGCACAACCTATTATTAAGGAATGCCATTTCATTTTTTTAATCCACTCTCATTTTAGAGTCAGCTAATCTCATTTTATAACCACAGCTGATGTTCAAGATAATGCAGTATTAAAATGAAGTAAGCTCATCATAAGAGTATAAAGCACAGGCCTAAAATAATCAATCAGTCTAACCTGGATTAATAGATCAAAATGCATTGGAGGTTTACCCATTAAGGTCAGTGGTCTTCCTACATAAATACACACACGCATACATACACACACACACACACACACACACACACACATCAGTCCTTAAAATAGAGTAAATAGACAATTTAATCGGATCACGCAATCAACAATTTATTTGAAAGACTGTTGTATGTAGCAGAAGGCCTTTACCAGTGACATTTGACTTTACTCTGAAGTGAAATGTCAAAGGGAAATACTGGCATCCTTTCTGTACAAAAACATGAAATTCATACTGCAAATTTATTTCTGCACAAAGAGCAAAAGTTTTTGAAGCAGGAATGTTCTTTCTACACTACTTCAAATACAAACAAAATTTAAAGGCTAGAGACACCTGGCCTTTCAGTAAGTATATATTCATACTTTAATAAAATTTAATAATGAGTTTTCACTTCAGTTGGATTTTTAAGATGTTAAATTGCAATTTCTTCTTTTTAGAAAACAAAAGGATATACACAAAATGACCTTCATTCTGAGAACTGATTCTGCAGGTGAGCTCTTAAAAGATTAACTCAGCATGACTACGCACAAGTCTGACCATGTACTCAGCTGGCATAAAAACTGCAGAGGTACACTGATTCAAATGGGCCAAAAATATGGCTCCTCACTGCTTCTAAAAGCTGATTGTGTATTTTCATCCTCTTTTATTTATAGCTCAGAAATAAGCCTTCCAAATGCTAAATCTATAGCTAAAAAGAAGGTGATTATTTTACAGTCGTTAAGATGCTATTAGGTACTCCAGAACTCACGGAGCTAACAGAGTCAGGAAACATTTTTCGCATGTCATGGAAAAGTATAAAAATGTAATCAAGGCAAAAAGAAAAAAAAAAAAAGTACATTTCTTTGAACACTGGGAATAAAAATAAGAAAAATGTTTTGTCTTGGTATCTCTCAAAAGTACATCAGAGCTTTGGTTACTTTCCTGAGTTTTTACTCTGAAATGTTAAAAGCAAAGTCCACATTTTACTGAAGCTTCCTCTAAAAAGAGAAAACCTAACCTATCTTTTTGGAAAATTTTCAAAATGGCAATATCAGCACTATACTTTTTTTTTTTTTTTCTTCCCCGAAGTGAAAATTGTGAGATTCGTTGGGGCTGCCCATGTTTGTTGAGCAGTTTGGTGGAGTTGGGATCCATCAGGTTTGGGCTCACCGCTGGGCTGCTGTGATGGGTGGCCACATGAGGGAGCAGCACCACAGGCTCCAGACTCTTCCTTGCATAAAATTCTCATCCAGTGAAGTGAGGTTTTCCTCCAGAAACACCACCTTGCCTTCCACCATACTTCCACAGCACAGTTGTTCAGGGCCACACTATTTTTATGATCACTGATTACAGTTTGAAATGGAAACAGAAGTTTGTTTTGGGGTGCAAATTGTGAACCTAAGAACGCAAGTCTGATAAATATGCTATTTTAATGCTACAAAATCTAATGACTGTACCAGAGGGAAAAGTGTAGCATTAATATTATTTTTCAGAAACAAAGATGAGATAGAAATACATATTGGCATATTGTGAGATAAAGGCAAAGCCTGGAAGTTTCTTCCTCCAACTTGCTAGACAGTGACACCAGAAATGCATCCTTTGTACTAACGAAGAATAATTTGTTAGGAATACCTTGTTCCCACAGCATCACATGTAGCATTCATACATAATGATTCTCACAAGATACATCTTCCCGTGTACTTTTCCAATTGCCACATTAAGATCTCAATTACAAATGTCTCGTTTTCAGGACTTCAGTGGAATGGTACAAGTGATGGAATTTGTTTGTCTTTTAGTAAACTTTGACTTGATTAGAACAGTTTATCCTCAAACAAATCTGGGTTTAGAGACTTACCAATTTAGCAAGGTGACAAGGACAAGAAATTTTCAGGTCTACTAAAAGTGCTAACAATAAACCCACCTATGAATTGGAACAATTCAATCCTTCTGGCACCAAGCTTTCCCATCTGAGAAATTAAAACTCAGAACAGTTTGAAGTCAGATTAATTTATATTTGCAAAGCACTTTGCTGTAGTGCTTTTATTTAAGCATAATGCAGAAATACTGTCACAGATCCCAACTCTCAGCTGCACTGAATTGCACAGAAGCAGAAAATGGCACAATGCAAAATAAGCAGTAACATTTAATACCCTGGTTAAGGAGTCACTTCTTTTAGAAACCACAAGAAGAAAGCTAATATATTCTAGCAGCAGTATATTACATCAGCAAGTGCTTGCAGAAAATTCCCAGCATGGTGGTAATCATTAGGATATCATAATGCCAGCTTCATGGCCACACCAGCACAATGAAAACCAGCCCAATGAATTTGAGAAACACCTAGAACCTATCATCTATGTTAGTCTCTGGTGACCCAGACACCATGTGTGAATCATGCTAGGATTTAGGTTAGCAAGGACTTACGGAAGTCATCTGGTCTAACTCTGTGCTCAAAGTAGGACCAACTTTGAAGTTACGACAGTTGCTCAAGGCCTTGTTGAACTGAGTCTTCAATGTCTTCAAGGGTGGAGATCCAGATCCTGTCTGTGTACCTCTTTGTGCATTTGACCACTACCGCATAAAATGTTTTTGCCAGTATGTAAGCTTCCTCAACACATCTTGGAAAGAACTGCTTTCTACAACTGGATTTGGCACATGGTTAATTGCATTTGATTTTTAATGGCTAAATAGGATCAGCCTTTTAGAACAGCTGCATTCAATAGCTAAAAACCATGTTAGTAGACAGGAGGAACACTTTAATAAATAAGACATCACCTATGAATAATGAACAGCTTCAGGTTCTAAACTAATTTTCCTACAGTGATTGTGCTCCTAATGAGTGCATTATGAATCTAAAATACCTGTGCTGGATTTGTCAATGAAGACCTAAGATACTCAGCTGAAAGCGTATTTTTCTAGTAAGCGTTTTTATAAACAATCCTATTAGTTTCTTCTAGTGCTGAATACAAGTGGTAGAATAAGACATCTGCTACCATGTTTTTATGTCTTAAATATCCTTAAACAATAATTCATTTTTAATAGGAAAGAGCTGTATTCCACACTTGTTCTTCATATTTCAAATATGTTCTTCATATTTCAATTAGTTCCTCCCCCTTACCTTACGAGTTCCTCCTCCTTATCTTACTCTCACAGCACTGACTAGCAAGTTTTTAAGAAATCAATGGATTTTCTAGGAATGGTGAATTGCTAAGATTTTTACAACAGTTGAAAATAGCAACAGCTTAGCACTAAAGAGATTTTTTTAATTTTTTCCATTTAAAATCTCTGTGTATGGAATTAAAAGAAGAAAGTGCAATGCAATTACTGACTCATTAAAAAAAAAATCCTGTTTGATTGGTTCAGGTGTAAACTTCATCAGTCTGGCATTTAATAAAACCAGTCTCTGTTTCCTTTCTTAATTTCTTTCTTTTTTTTTTTTTTTTTTTTTACCTTTGCACATTTTTAAGTGTGCTGTAGCAGCAGCCACTCTAATATTGGTCATTTCTGGGGTATGAAATACTGGTTTGCATTTACAGATCACAGCAATGCAAGGAACATCGCCATCCTGAAGCAAGTAATTAATTTTCATGATACGCCCTGTGTTTTAACAGTTATTGCTTAAAAACACTTCTTTTGCAATGAATGGTCCCATATATTTTCACCAAGACACTTCAGAAATTGATATCACACTTGGACTAAATTAAATTTTTTATTATTATCTAGCTTCATTACAACATTCACTAATTGCTAGCTTTGAGATTGGTACAATCAATCATGCAATTTACATTCCTAGAAATTGCTTAAATTGAGTATTTCTGCATGTTTTTTAAATTCTAAACTAAGGTAGTACTTTCAGGCACTAAGATTAAACCAACTTAGTACAATAGCTTGAGTACTCTTACATGGAAGATTTTAAGTATCATAAACAGAAAAAAGGGTCATGCAGGTATGATTTCCTGATTGACTTACTCTGATATAAGCTGAGCCTCTTCAGCACTGTGGCCACGAGGGCCACTCTTATCCTTCCCTCCAGCTCAGCCTCATAGCCCAGGTATGGTGTGTTTATGCTTGCACATAGTAGCCCAGTGACTCAACCATTCTGTTTTTGTAGTTAAAGATGATAGGACAAAATGACCCCTCCAATGACTGTATGAAGTCAGGGCTATATTTCATATGATATGCATGTGGACTGCTCCAAAAGCAATGTCTCCTATTTTATTATATTGGCCCATGACATCAGAGATTGAAGTTTCCCATTAATATTCTGTTGCATTTTGTTACCATCTGACAGACAGTAGAAGAGGAGCAGTCTGACAAAATAGCAATTGACGTGGAAATGTGTATGAAGCAATAATATGTCACTGAAGTCCTGCAAGTGGAAAAAAATTGCAGCTATTGATGTTCACTGACACTTGCTGAATATTTCTGGAGAGCAAACAGTGGATGTGAGCACAGTGAGGTGGTGGGTGGTGTGTTTCAGCAGTGGTGATGGTGGGTCACCTCCACTGGTGCAGATTTTTATGAGCATGACGTAAAGAATCTTGTTCATCACTGATAAAAATACAGAGCTAGTGGTGGCAACTGTCAAAAAACAGTGTTTTGTAGCTGTCTATCCTGTGAAGCAGCAAAACTGCTTCTGACAAGTTCTTTGCAATACAAAGCAAAGTACTGTTAGATATACAAAAAGTCATACGCAGGGGAAAAAAAAAAAAAATGACTCAGCTAGTGACGAGGATCTCTGGCTGTGAAACACTCTTGAGAAAAGTAACCTTTGTTTGTGAGATGTTCTTCCTTCAGAGCATAGCTCTTAAATGAGCCTAGGAGGAGGGGGGTGCATGGACCCCCTTCTGGTCACATGGGAAGCACAGGTAAATCGTTCACACCTGTGCTTCCTGGACCAGCTATCCCCTTCACCAGGTGCTCCATCATCAGTTCGGGTCATGACCTAACAGTTCCCCTACAGTAGCTGAATACTTGCTTTATTGAATAGTACTACTGCATTCTTTCTATATGTTGTTTCTATGGAAATAAATAGGAGGCATTATTTTCAATATATAGCTATGTATATGCATACTATATATGTATATACAATCTCAGTGGATATACGTGGGTAATTACACTTTCAGCTACTATCATGCTGTGTGCTGAGTTAAATTGTAGCTAATTATGAAACTGTACCACAGGGTTGTGGTAGCAATGGTAATGGAAGGACAGCTGGACTAGATGATCTTGTAGGTCCTTTTCAACCTTGTGATTCTATGACTCTACAACTTGTTGGTTTGTCTGACAGAAGGGCACACGCACTTTTCTTAACAAAATGATAAAACATGTTTTAGGCTGAAGTGCGTACAGACAAGTCCATAAGAATATTTTATCATCAGGTTTCCTTTGTAGCACATTACTGAAGTTACGCTCTGTTGACACTAAGACTTCCAAGATAGCTGTAAGGTCAGGGATAATGATGTACTACATTACCATAGTAATGTTCTTCATACTGAAGTAATGTATATGCAATGTCTTAGCAACAGTATTAATATCCTAAGTATATGTTATTGGATATATGACTGTGTGTTGTTCACTAATTCATCTGTATACTGAATGGGTGACAAGAAAAAAGGATTCATTTGATGTGTTCTTTTTTCTGAACCTGCTTTCTAAATTGGGCTCTTCCACCTATCACATCCTATTCCTACCAAGTCACAGAGGAGGTTGTTAAGTATTGTTTAAAAAAAAAACTGTCTGCATGTTTCTTTGATTTTAATCAACAACAAGCATTATCTTATTTGGAATCATACACAATCATGGTAACTACAAACTTTCATGTAATTACTTAGAAAATGTAGCTGTCTCTATCCAATGGCAAACATATCAAGAGGGACTGAGTAATACAGGTTCAGCATACTGGGTTACAATCAGCTCAGGGACCTGATGCCTGAAGGTTTGTCAGCTCCTCCCTCCCCAGTTCCTTCCTCACATTGTTCCCACGCATTATTCTCCTGGCCTTCTTGTTCCTCCCCCTTACCTTATGCCAAATCTAATATCTGTCAGACCTTTCTGTGAACCTCATAAACCCAGTAATGCAGTGGAAACCTACCCAACCATTTTGGCTGTTAATTTTCCACCACGTTAGAGAGGTACAGTGAAGCTCTGAGAGATCTGACAAGCTCCAGAAGCAGAGCAAGAAAAAATATTCAGACCCAGGACAAAGTAGGTGGGAACGAACACCTTGTCTGGCAGCCACGTGCTGCTGAATCACTTCCTGTGTCACCTGAAACCACGTTTCTCAGGCTGCAGTGCTACAGGTAGCTGAGCTAAGCCATCAAAAAAAGACGGTCCTTTTTGTCAGTTCCTCCCCCTTGAAAAAAACCATCCTCAGAAAGGGAATATCCAGAAAGGGGAAATAAGATCTTTCATTTGATTTGTGTAATTTGATTTTTGGGATGAAGCAACTATGCAAAAATAATGGAACTAGGAATGGGAAATCACTGGTTAATTTTGACACTGAAGCTAATTAAAATCCTTGGATGAGCTCATGGAGATTGGTCTTGTGAACAGTCACGCTGGTGACAAAAGCACTTTAACTCAGTATGTGCAAAACTGGATTAAGAGATTTATTTTCAATTTATTTCAAGAAAGCACTCCTGTATCAGTAAGGGGTTGTTCTGGATAATCTACGCAGTCTTTCAGTTTCACATAACAGTAATCCTACTATCATACTACGTGCTGAGTTAGAAGTAAGAAACTGTGGTTAGGAACTTACAGCTCAAGGAATAATGATAAATTTCATGCAGTCATTTAAAACAGAAACTGCATTAACTCATTGATTACCTTCATTAAAAGATCAACCACTGTTAGATTTATTTACCTCATGTATGTCTTTCATCCAGCTTGTTACACCTTGAAAACTGTCCAGATTTGTGATGTCATATACAAGAACAAAGCCTTGTGCTCCACGAAAATAGCTTGTACTGAGTGTATGGAATCGTTCCTGGCCAGCAGTATCCCTGAAAGAAATCACAAAATGTTCCCAATAAAGAAATAAATTTGATACCAATGAACAAACTGTAGAACTGTAGCACTTTGTAAACTGTGACACAGACAGGGAGCTGGTTTAGGTGGAAGATAAGTTTTGGAAAAAAGACACAATGTAAGAGGATGCAGAGATTCCTATCTGCAATTATGCCTTAAGAAAGCTGCCAACAAGCCTTCAAGATTTTTGTACTAAAACCTGAGGTGGAGCAACTTAAGGTCTAACACTGGTTGGTGAATTCATGTACACTTACTTCTCAAGAAGTTAGATACTTGTAAATATAGGTAACCTTCTGTATGGGATACCTGTAGACATGGCTGTCAGCATTCCTAAATACTCTTTTGAAAAGCCTCAAAACAAACAAACAAAAATAGTGTAGGTTCCCAAAGATTCATCAAAATAGTTTTCTCTTGGCAGTCTTTTGAACATGCACTTGTTCATTAATGAAATACAGAATTTTCTTGCTTTGTCACTTCCATAGTGTTCTGATACAAATAAAAATAATTAATGTGGTTTGTAGATCTGCATTGTTTGCATGCTGCAACAGTAGAATTTTGTTAAAGCAACCTAGTAACAATTTTCTTTTTAACTTACTCAACTCAAATTTTAAAATGACCTACAACATAAAGTTGCACTTTACAAAGGCATGTAATTAAAAACAGATGAGATTTTTTCATGTTGTAATGTACATTAGTAGGCTTTTATTTGTGACATAGATTAAAACTTACCATATTTGAAGTTTAACTCTTGTACCATTCAGTGTTATACACTTCACTTTAAAATCAATGCCTAGAAGAAAGAAGAAAATCTGTAACATTTCTGATAATAGCACGGATTTCCATTTGAAGAATGTTTCTCAACTCTAGTTATCGTGCAGTTTAAAACAGAAAATGAAAAGGAATCATATCAAACAAAGAATGAGTAACCAAACACATTCAAAATGGAAGTTGGAAAAGAAAATTATTCAATGGTGAAAACAGCTGTGTATCAATATATTACAATAAAAGCAATGGAGGGACATGTCAAAGCAAAAGATATTCTGACACTACGTGTACATGTACATATTTCCATTAATAGGCATGTGGCAGGACAGCAGCCTTATGGCTTAGGCACATTAATACTAGGCAAATACATTGGTGATTTCAGTTGTTTCCAATTTCATCACAGAACAGCTATAGTTAGCAATAAATGCTTACAAAGCTGTTACATGCAAAGTGCCATTTTTCTATTTTTACTTATAAATTCCTAAAAAAATAATCTAGGGTTGCATGAACAGGAATAGAAATTAGCTGTATTAAATGCAAAGATGAGCATACACTGGATTTCATTCAAATCAGCAACATCTGTCTCTACAGTCTTAATCTCTCTTTATCCTAAATACAGGTGTTAATGCTAAAATCAGGCATTAGCACTTGAAAACAGTGCTGTACATTGTCTCTACATACATTACACATCTTTCCTTAAAGATATTTCTCATAATTTGTAGTGTTCTCGTCTACTATACCATCCAGTTACTATTCCAGTTGTGGTAAATGATTCCTGGATTTGTAGGCTGCTGCAGCTCCACACTAAGGCTGGAATCTGCTTGCTATCACTGCTACCTTAGGGAAATGATGTTCCTCTCCAATTACTATACTGCTGACATTTGAAATACTTTTTACTGGTTTCTCTGCTCAGATTTTCCCCCTAAAATTTAAGAAGGCTATTTCTGTCAGCTACGTTAAGTAAAGGTAAGGTACCATTGCTGTAGCAGGTAGCACAGCCTTCCCCATGGTCAAGAATCCACAAGGTCAAAGTACAGCCACATAACTTCAGAATAGCTTGTCATCCATAGTGATGCCATTCGAAACAACTACAAAAACTGAAAAAGCAATGTTACTGCCAAATGGCTTTTCCAAAGGAAAACATTGCTGGCAACAAAAGAAAAATGCAGTGAAAAATCCTTTCCATTCCTTTTTTTTTTTTTTTTTAATTTCTGAATGTATTTTGTGCAAAATGTTGAAAAGTATGTGCTCTCATACAAGATTCCAATGGTAATAACATTTTTGGGTATATGTGGTAAAGGAGTTTAAAATTATTATGATAATCATGTCCTTCATTTGATGAATTTTTACTGAAGCTTCAATGGCAAGGGAAGATGAAATTATATAATTGGTGTCTGTAATTAATATTACACAGTGCTTCCTTGATGGAATTAATAATGTTAGCTGGAAATGTAATTTAAGCCAAATTTGTTCGTGTGCTCGTGTAAGTTGAAATTTGAACGTTATGGAAAACATTTGCTCCTGAAATTCACACAGTTTTGTTTAATTATCTGTATCGCTTTCTACAATTAATATTAGAGCACTTGAGAGGGACCAAGCAAGCACTGGAAGGCTGGAATGTCACTTTCAAATGATGCATTAGGAACACAGAGAAAAACTATAATCCAGCGAGGGATCCCCAGCCCTATAGGAAACAGTTCTGATTTGACATACATTTTAATAATAAATTGATATAAGCTTTTTTTTGTTGATAAGAAGGGAAGCAGAGTGCTGAATCAGGCTAAACCTTAATCTAAATTAAAATAAGGCATATTGACTTCTTAAGTCAACTTCAAAATTTATTGACCTAGAAGGTCAATGAATGTTAGTGAAAAACAGAAGTCAATACGTTCTGCATGCATGAATTGTTCATGTCTTGATATGAAATTTCATGCAAACTTAGCAAATTGAAGACAAAAAAGAAAAATGAGAAATACAGTGCCAAAGAGACAGCTCACAGATTTCAGATGCATTTAAGCCCATGTACTATACAAGATGAACAACATAACAATGCTAGCATTGATTACTGTTCTTGAGATAAACGTAATTTGAATGCAACAGCTTCTACTTGCTTCTCTTAACCTGTCAGATTATACAAAGAATGGGTACACTGGGTAAAAACTCAAATTCTAGTTGTTATGTCCAAGTTTTATAACCATGACATTAATTTATTTTCTTTATACTCAAAATATTAAGTATGCCCACATGAGGACTGAGGCACTTTAAATACAGCAAGACCTAAGGAGCATTAAAATACTCAGCCATATAGGTATTCAGTTGTGAACTGCCCATCCCCTCCCTCAATATCTATGAAACAGTCTCTGACTGTCTGCAAAAGTCCTCAATAGGTTCAATAAATCAAAGTACAAGGTCTTGCAGCTGGGTCATGGCAGCCCCTGCTATCAGTACAAGATGGGTGATGTAAGGATGGAGCACAGCCCTGCCAAAAAGGACTTGAGGTACTGGTGGATGGCAAGCTGGACATGACCCAGCAGTGCGCCCTCACAGCCCAGAAAGCCAACTGTATCCTGGGCTGCATCAAAAGAAGCATGGCCAGCAGGGTGAGGGAGGTGATCCTGCCCCTCTGCTCTGTGCTGGTGAGGCCTCACTTGGAGTGCTGAGTCCAGATGTGGAGCCCTCAGTACAGGAGACATGGAGCTTTTAGAATGTGTGCATAGGAGGGCCACACAAATGATGTAAAGGATGGAACATCATTCCTATGAGGACAGGCTGAGAAAGGTGGGGCTGGAAAAGAGGAGGCTCTGTAGAGACCTGATAGTGGCCCTCCAGTACATAAAGGGGGGCTATAAGAGGGAAGGGGACAGACTCCTTAGCAGAGCCTGTGGTGATAGGACAAGAGGTAACAGTTTCAAACTAAAAGAGGAGAGATTTAGTGTGGACATAAGGAAAAAGTGGTGAGACACTGGAACAAGTTGCCCAAATTAATGCTGGATGCCTCATCCTTGGAAACATTCAAGGTCAGGCTGCACAGGGCTCTGAGCAACGTGATTGAGCTGTAGGTGTTCCTGTTCATTTTGGGGGAACTAGACTACATGACCTTTAAGGTCCCTCCAACTCAAAAGATACTATGATTCTACGAAAACCACAATACATTTTTCACCCTGACACAGCTGAGATGGTCCTGATATAAAAGGCTCAAAAATATTCCTGACCAGATAGAAAGTGAGTTTGAGCAATTCAGCAGAATGCTGAGCTCCTGGTGAGATGTCCTGCACAGCAATAGCCAGGGCAGAGCTGAAAGCAAGAGCTGGAAGCTCCTGGCAAGCATGAGAGGTAATAACCAGGTTGCTGTTGTAATGATCTCATCATCTATTAGCAGCTGGTAAAAAGAAATCCACTGATGTGCAGTGAGTGCTCATGACTGGTGGTGGACTTCAGCCCATGAAACAGCTGGGACTCACTTTTCTGGTCCTGGAGCCACCTTACCTGAGTCAAGTGCAACTGTGATTCTCCTATCCAGCACTGAGCCCTTACCATGTTGGTGCATCACTTCAACCAGACACTTCTTTCCTCTACACATCAAGGAATATCTGAACGTGAGTAGTATCTGAGTGGTCACAAACACCAGTAATTACTGTTTTGCTAAGAAAAACAACTCATGGGATAAGACAGCTTGCTAAGAAAGAGTGCAAAAAATCCAACCAGAAAATAAACAAAAAAAGTAAGATGAGGATTACAACTAGGATTGTTAAAACATAACATGTTTGCCTTCAACATCATTAATTTTTGCTGACAAATTCTATTTCCTGAGTACGTGAGTACTGGGGTATTCACAAAGATCACAGAATTTTAGGGGTTGGAATGGACCTCAAGAGTTCATCAAGTCCAAACCCTTGCTAGAGCAGGTTCCCTGAAGTAGGTTAGGGAGGATTTACACCTCCACAGACTTTCCCACAGAAAACGTGCCTTTGGGACCACAGCCACCACAGTCCAGCAAAATAAAAGCCTTACAGACTGTGAGATCGTGAGCCTACAATCCTATTCACTTATATACAAGAGCGGTTTTTCTGTTCATAAACTTTCCCTGTGGCGTTATATGCAATGCCATTGTTTAAACAAAAACATTTATTCTTTATAGCCTACTACAGCCTACCATTCACAATGCAATGCACCTGCCTTATGATGCGTATAAGTTTAATTAGAAAACTTTAACTGCTTATAATTTACCCAAACTGCATAATTGAGGAGGAGGAAGGGCACCCATCCTTGAGTGTTTAAGTGTCACATAAAGGGCTTTCAATGAAAATTTATTGTGGACACTTTTTTTTTTTTTTTCCATAAGATACATAATTTTAGAAAATTTCACTATTGGAGCCTAGCAGGATTTTTTTTTTTTCCTGCAGTAACACTCAGATTTTTTCTAATAGCACAAACCCGTGACTCATGACAATACAGGATTCTTCATAGCTCCCAGACAACCTTTCAGCTTCTTTAGCTGTGACCTTTTGCCACTGATGGTGGTGACACAGTTTTGTCAGGAAACGCAAATGTTTGAATAGCCTGGATAAGCTTTCTGCTACTCTCAACGGTGTTCCAGCTGGACAACAGGTAGAGGGAAAGCATTAGATGAGCATTCAACAGGCTGCAAAGCAGATAGGGCTCACTGGGCTGAGCCTGTGTGAAACTGGCATGCAGTTGAAAACATTCATTTTGATAGTGTCGACAAAGAGGAAGAAGACATGATGATTAAAAAAAAAAAATCTCAAATGTTGCAATGCATCTTCTTCCTTTACACCATTACTGACCACAGCTGTGCTGCAAAGACTGAAACTTCCATTTTCTCAGCTGTGTCTGTCCTTGAGAGCACGGAACTTCTACCTTCAACATCACTATTGTGGAAACCATCACCCACAATCCTGTTGAGTTTAAGAGTCCAAGCTCTAACATGTCTTGTAAAACGGAACTAGGTATTTCAAAAATTACTGTAAAATCACATGCAAGTAACAAATACTGCATGTGAGGTATTAATTTCCATTTCAGATAAGCATATGCTAAACAAGTTTTTAAATCACTCAATAGGAACAGTAATAAAACTATATAAGGTTATGTTTGGTCCAAACAAAACAGTTTCATCTTTGCTATTCTTTAAAGTCTTTCAAACTACAGCAGGACAAACATATTCTCAATGTCATCAGTACATCAGAGTTTTTGACTCTCGTTGTTTGAATTAAAAGTAAAAAGAATCTGTTTCAAAATAATAATCTCAAGGCTAGGAATCTAATACAAAGTGCATTGTTAACAATGCACTTTAACAGCTGATGTTTATTTTCATGGATGTGCCTTGAGAGTCCTTGTTAAAGTTTATAATAGACTGCCAGCTTTAAGGACCCATTTCACTTTGGTTTTGTTTGTGATGGTTTCAGAAGATGCTTTGTAAGAAGGTGCAGGAGAATGGGAAGCAGTTTAAACCCTGACGTGAGGAAGTCTTTATATACTTAAAAAATGAAGACTTCCCACTCAGAAATCCATAAAATGTGTGTATCGTGCATAATAAGGGTCAGCTCTCTATGTGACAAAGGATGGGGCAGCAGAAGACTGGCTGCCACCTCAGGGCTGCTGGGGTGCTGGATGGGGAACGCTACATCCTCTGCATCCAGTGGGGATGATCATAGAATCACAAGGTTGGAAAGGACCTACAAGATCATCTAGTCCAACTACCCTGCCATTACCCTTGCTACCACAATGTTCTACCAGCACAATGCTTGCATTCTACTTCTCTGCAAGCAGCATCTCACTGTTACACCACGGAGGGGATCTGAGAATCTTGAACTCATCTCTGTGCTCTCCTGCACCTTAAAGGCAGGAGTGACACTTGGGATAGATTCATTTCCAACTGAAAAGTGGTTCTGCTTCAACAGTGACGTGTGTAGCTACTTATAGCAATCGATCTTTGACTTTACACCATCAAAATGCACTAACACAAAGTTAAGAGTCTTTCTGTCAGGAAACACGGAGGAACCGGGAGTTTTATTGAAGTCCGAGAGCTCTTTGAAGTAGAGGCAGTTTTCCCTGCAGGCACAGCGGTGTGCCACAGCCAGGCCTCCCGCTGGAGCCACGAGCACCAGTACGACGCAAATTGCCTCCACGCAGCAAAAGCACGGTGACAGGAGCTGGAGCGAAGCGGTTTTGGAGCCAGAACCACGAGCACTGCGGCGCTCTCTCACACTCCGGCCAGCCCACCCGGCAGTACAGCTCCAGGCACCCACACGCGGTTGGCACCGGGCACCTGCAGCAAAGCCGGGCAGGCACGACCGCCCAAAGACGGAGAGAAGGAGCGAAAGGGGAGCGGGAGGGAAGGAGCCAGGGCTGCGGGAGAGCGCGGGCATGGCCGGCCCGCTGCGAGCCGGCACTCACCGATCGTGGCCAGGTAGGAGGAGGAGGAGAAGGCGGCAGCCGCGTTGGGCTCCGTGTACCTCCGCACGATGGAGGTTTTCCCCACGCAGGTCTCCCCGGCCATCACGACTTTCAGCAGCAGCGCCGACCTCCCCTCGGCGCCCCGTCCCGGCACCGCCATGGCGGGCGGGAGGCACGGACGGCCGGGCCGGGCGGGGGCCGCAGCGCCGCGGCCGCCCCGATGTCACGGGGTAGGCGCCGACTCCGCCCGCGGGGCCGCCAGCCCTGCGGGGCCGCGCCGAGCGGGCGAGGCCTTGCGGTTCGCTAGCGGGCTTCCCCTTTTGAGGCGGGCTGCGGCGGCGGCGAGCGGCTCGGAGCGGCTGGAGGCCAGAGCACAGAAAGACGCGGTCTGCTTCTTCTTCACTTCCTAGCGCTAAAGACCGAGACAGAGGAAACGAGCTTGAGGAATTTCCTCTTTTTCACTTTTGATTTGTAATTGACTGTCACAGTGACCTGTGGCATGAAAACCAAATGAACGTGTATCTGCCGTATCCCGTGTTTTTAGTGGAGTCCCATAGTGTCCCCTAGCCGTTTGTTGATGTGCGCTCTGAACTCGTCTGACATGAGGGATTTATGAATGGGACGTAATTTGAACTCAAAGAAGGAACAGATATTTACAAAAGTTTGTCTTAGTTTCAGTCTGCAATGACCCCCCCCCCAGCATTTCCATCTTCAACCCTTCAAACAGCTCTTCAATCTATTCACATGCACAGAGCAGAGATTTAACACACAATGCAGAGAACCCTGCAAGTTCCACTTATCACAGTTAGGGAAGTCCTCTTATCAGATGCCCTATCACTCCCCTCTCAGCCACACACAAACCTGCATCTCAATATGAAACTGGTTAGCCACAAACCTTAAGGACTTTGTGGTGGCAGATTTCCAAAGGATAGCAACAGCTTGTTTCTAAATCAGTGTAGCTTCCTTCATCGATGGAGAAAAAAAAAAAAAAAAAACTGCTATAAAATGGGGAATAATCACTACAAATGAAGGGTGAGATCGTCTAGTGGGTTAGCTGGTCTTCTCAGGATGTCTGTGAGACATTACAGTGTAAAAAAAAAAACAAAAAACAAAACCACTACTGACTACTGACAGAGAAGATATCTGTCAAAGTATTTCCATTGGGGACAGAGAAATACTGTGCGTTGATAAGACTAGAAACATTAATTTTATGGAAGCATTTGGGGAGCTCTTCCTGTCCAATGAAGCTGCAAGTGTGTGGCTCGCTTACTTCAACAGAATGAAGGCTCAGAGGGAACAGCATTACTGTCTATCACAGATTAAACAATAAGGAGAAGAAAACAGGTATTCAAACAAAAGGATAAGAGAAGGAATAGATATACAGTGACCATGAATATGTCTGAGCTATGAATTATGAGGTTTCTAGGGGCATTTCAGAATGTTCATTCCGTTGAGACAATCAAGAGACAAATCTTGATAAAGACATAACATAATGAATTGGTTAGGGAAGCTATGACTGACTGCCTGCTGCAGGGAAGGACTGACTTTGTAAACCAGAACACTTCCTATGAGAAATGTCCCCTGATTTCTAAGCAGTTCTAGAAAGTTCTGCTTCCTCATGCAGAAATTTGAAGCTGCTGTTGATTATCCCAGATCTGAGCTATGAAAGTTCTAGCATCTTCTGGTAGTTCTTATGGATCAGAGATGATGATGCGTATGGACTATCTGTAATATTTATGGATAATTTAACATTTGAAACAACAGCTATGTCTCCAGTCAGCTATGAATCAATATCCCTCCAGTCACTGAAACTCTCTCCAGTTCTCTACTCTGAGTACGTTTTTCACAAAACTGCCTTCTTCAAATGAGGGCAACGCTGCAGCTGCCTAGAGCAGTGAGGTTTAGATGACAGTGCGGACTGATGGTATTATCAGAGATATTACATTAGCTCAGTCTTTACCCTGTGTTGTCTGTCAGGCCAACCAGTTTAAATTGAAAGGACATCCAGATATTTTGTACATTCATTTGTTTTATTCATGGGCAGTATATAAGGCAGAATTCTAATTAATTTCTTAATGAAGCTCCTAATGCCCAAGGTTACCATTGCTATTAGTAGGATATGATATCACTTTCCTCATATTCCTATCCACAAGGGGACAGTGTTTCCATCTGTTACTACTGACTACAGCAATTTAAAAATTAGCTCCTTGAAAAGCTACCATTCAATGAATGAAATTTCACTTGTTTTAAAACACACATTTCATGATTGCAAAAAAATCCCCATCTTCCTAAACTATATGAAGTTACTGAATTTATAGAACTCAAGTTAGTTTAATGAAGCCGATTACTTGAAAATGATGAGTGTGTGGCTACAAGAAAATCAATGCAAAACACAGAATAAAGTTAACATGACGTACATTGAGATAGTCTTGGAAAAAGGTGTCCTTGCTTCTTATTTATCTTTTTTTTTTATATCAGCTGTTTGCATTTCTTTGTCTGTCTTTCCAGTAACGAGATAAATAGTAATAATAATATCATCAGCAGAATTCTAATCGTATTTTAATGGGAGATCTTTTCATTTCAACACAGAAAAATGACTAGAATTATTAGAAATTAGTTTTATAAAGAGATTATTATGACATTGTGTTTGTTTTCATTGAATTCTTGTGAATAGTTAGTATTTCTTTTGTACGTACAATACTTACATTTTTTCTTATATGAAATGTACAGTTTAGGCGACTCTTAGTTTACTTTTACAGGAACAGCAATTTTCTGGATTTTTTTCTCAGAATGCTTACACAAGTTTTGGAATTCAGCTCCTATTAGACAGAATGTGCACTAATTGCAGAATCACTGAATCGCAGACTGCTTCAGGTTGGAAGGGGCCTTTGGAGATTATCTGGCCCAACACCCTGCTCAAACAGAGTCCCCTATAACACATTACTGAGGATTGTGTCCAGGCAGCTTTTGAATATCCCCAGGGAAAGTGACTCCCCAGCCTCTGGGCAACCTGTGCCAATGCTCCATCACCTACACAGCACAGAAACGCAGCCTTATGTTCAGAGGGAGCCTTCTGTGTTCTGGTTTATTCCCATTTCCTCTCATCCTAATGCTAGGAACCACTGAAAAAAGTCTGGAACCTTCCTCTTGCCACCTGCCATTCAGATCCTTATGGACATTGATCAGTTCCCCCCAAACCTTTTGCAGGCTGGACAAGCCCACAAGGCTCCCTCAGCCTTTCCTCAAAGGAGTGGAGCTTCAGTTCTTTCATCATTTTAGTAACACATCACTGGACTCTCTTCAGTAGCCTCACATCTCTCTTGAACTGAGGAGCCCCAAACTGAACACTAGTCCCTATATGGCCTTCCAGATATGGCAGAGCAGAGGGGGGAATCACCTCCCTTGACCATGCTCTTGTTAATGCACCCCAGCATCCCACTGGCCTTCTTGGCCACAAGGGCACACTGCTGGCTCACGGCCAGCCTGCTGTTCACCAGGACACCCAGGTCCTTCTCCTCACTGTTCCTTTCCAGCACATCAACCCCTAACCTGTACTGATACACATGGTTATGGGTGTAGGACCTTCTTTTACCTTTGTTGAATTTCATGATGTTCATCTCTTCCCATCTCCTCAGACTGTCAAGATCCTTCTGAATGGCAGCACAGCACCCCAGGGTATCAGTCACTCCTCTCAGTTTTGTGTCATCAGCAAACTTGCTGAAGAGGCACTCTATCACTTCACCCATGTCAGTGATGAATAAGTTAAACAATACTAGTACAAGTATTGGTCCCTGGGGGACACTACGAGCTACAGGCCTCCAACCAGACTGTGCCACTAATCATAACCCTCTGAGCTCTGCCAGCCAGTTCTTAAATCAACCTATCTGTACACTCATCCAGTCGACACTTCAAGCTTGCCTATAAGAATATAATGGAAGACAGACCATGCTGAAGTCCAGCACCAAACTCTGATGATGCGCCGATGAATTGTTACAGCAGCTGGTTTTTCATATCACCAAATCCCTCAAAAAGTGGGCTCACTCTTCACTGCAGTCAAGAAAAGTACTGTAAATTACTCTGAATACATAAGAAACTGGAAATATTCTTCAGCAGTATATTTCATGCCAATCATTCAGCATAATCTTGTCTCTGAGCTTGCTTTGGGTATTCTTGCAAGTGACCATTATTAAAAACAAACAAACAAACAGTGAAAGAGACCAAAATAACTACAAACCAAGCCTCAGAAAACTGCAGCTTTCAAGTAAAGCACTGATTCTGAAACATGATGAATACATTACAGATGCCATAGACTTCCTTAATGAAATAAATCTTACAAATATTGCAAAGGGGTTAAATATAATTCCATTTGAAAATTTTTTGGTGAAATATTAGAATACTAATTAAGTTAAAACTTAGTAGCATCTTCATTTACATTTTCCTGAACTGAAGGGTATAAGCTGAAAATGGTAATGAGCAGAAAGAGTAAGGCTTAATACGGGTTTTAAATTCTCAGTTATAAGTCACTGCTCATGCCAAAATTATTCACTGAATAGATTCTGTTAAGTGACAAAAGTTAAACTCTTTGGTTTCATTAGTGTTAAGATAAAATTACTTCTGAGTGGACAAAAGTGAGGCAAATCATTCATGTTAGGCAAAACAGGGTTCACTAATCCCTAAATGAATTTCTAGGCCAACCATAAAGTATTTTCGTTATTTAAGAGACAGGATTCAGTGTTAAACTGGAGTATAATTGGAGTGTAATTTTAAGAATGTTAGCAGAGAACAGTGCATCTCTTTGAATTGGAATAATTCAAGTGTGAGATTGCAGATGAAAACTCTTTGTTGAAGAAATGATTTCAATAAGATACATATTCTTTTTAGTTGTTCGTGACCCTTTTTGGAGTTGTATGGGCTTTTAATTTTTGGTACGTAATGGTTCAAAGTCACACTTCTTGCCTAGTGATAAGAAGGTCAAATATTAGCAGAACAAAGTAAAATCTTGTAAGCCTTACATTAGGGGTTCTGTATGCTTCAAAAACTTAGAATTGAAACCAAAGAATGTTGCACTCAGGTCTGTCTCAGCATCATTGCTCTTGGGCCCACAAAGGTTGCTAGCTACAAGGTGCTGTCAGCAGCTTCAAGAACACCTCAACAAAAGTATTACAGTTTCTATGATGGAAAAGTTGGTCTTCTGAGTCTCCTCTTGTGTTGTATGATTTTTTTTCTGTATCTGGAGCAGCAGAACAAATAGCTGTTGTAGGGGAGTATCCTATCTGCCATCTGTATAGGTGTATATAAAATCCAGTGCTGGACAGCTGTCAGTCATTCACTGTCAGCCTTGCTTACCAAGCAGCCTAAGAAGTATGAACTTCAAATGCTCACTCTTATTCCAGAGTCACATGGACTTCCCTGAACTCTAAGCTGTGCTTTTGGGGGGCCATTAGTTAGTTAGCTATGAAAAAAAATTCAAAATCATTATTTAATGTTTCATTTCTAAATTAATTTTAGGAATCTAAAAGGTTATCCAACTGCGCAAA